CTTTTCTCTAATTGTGTAAATGGAGAGACTGTAGGGGTTCAGAGAAGTTATGTAACTTGCTCTAGGTTACATAAAATCTATTAACAGATTGCCTCAACAAGTGCCTAGGCAGGAGAAAAAGAGATAATCTTTGTAGGCCATGGCTATATCTTAATCATCTTTGATTCTTCTGACAATCTACAGACACTATCTAAAGGTCTGTCGAACAACTGAATAAACAAGTGAATGACTAGCAATTTAGCAAGTATTATTCAGCATATCTGAACCATTTGGAAAGAATTTCTAACATAACCAGAATATCTAGGATGTCATAAAAATAATTAGATTTACAGATGTACAGGTGCTATAATATTTAGAACATGTGAGGAAGATTTCTAATATAAGATATTACTTGAATTAAAAAATATTTCTACTTTAGTATGTGTGAGAAGATGTGGAGTTGTAAATACTTAACACTTTGATTTTACCTTTCTGGCTTGCTCTTCAGCTCTTTCTTTTTTAATTTTTTCTAGTTCTGCAAGAAGAGCTGCAGTATCATCATCATCACTCTCTTCTTCAAAATCTTCATCTTCCTCCTAAAAAAAGAACAGTGATGGTCCAGAAGATTGAAGAGAGAATATATATTATTCATGTTTTTCCATAAAAACTGCGCTTACCAAATCTTTGGGACATAATTAAAGTTTATAAATATTCACTAAAATGTCAACCCCTGACAAAGTGCCTTTCAAATTTACATGGCCAAAAGGGAATTTCCATATGAAAATATTTCTAAAAATAGAAAAGAAACACTTTAGACCAAAACATATATACAAGGTATCACCCTAAGAATCAAAATAGTTTTATGTAGTTCAAAACAACTTTAACTTAGCAAGGATAATCAAAAATGTGAAAAAGGGTGCTGAATTCCCAGAAGAAAGTAACTTCAAATGAATAATCATTAAATCTCATTTAAAATTGTGTTTCCTGTTTTAATTATTATCAGTAACTGCATGAGTCAACTCCAGAATTGCTGATATATGTACAAATTAGATACTGGACCCACTGGAGGCCACTTGGATTGTTTTCCTGTACTGTATGTAGAAAACAGCTATAGGCTATAGGGTCCCACTGAATTAGTTAATTGATATACTAATCCTTAAAAACTTTCTGCTTAGATTACTTCCCTTCCTAAGCACAGAGGGAGCCATTAAGTGTATTGCATGTCTGCATAGGCATCATATTTAATATGGAAAGCCCCCTGGGTACAACTCTAGAAGTTGCTGTTTACAGAGAGCCCAATGTGAAGAGTACTCTGTGGTGGTTTTTAGCATGGCAGCCCAATCTCTAGGGTTTAATACAGGGAATTATTTTGGTGGGAAGCATATCCTTTAACAGATTGCGTGCATATTTCCTTCTCTAGAGATCAAATGTGTTCTTGAAATTCTTACCACAAAATAATACTTTCTGTTTTAAAATCAACTGTAAAGTTTAGCATTGAAGCCAGGGTTACATTTGAATAACAGTAAGTAAAAATAAATACAGGTTACTTCTTAAAGCCAAAAGCATAAAAAAGCATTTCAGAAAAACATAATAAATTACTAGATAGAGATAAAGGCGAGGAACAAAACGTACATCTGTTAGAGGGTCATCTGCATCAAGGTTGGCAGCAGGAATCTGGTCTAATCGAGGCTTTTTCGACACTGAAGAGGAGGTTGTATGTTCTGGGGGAAAACAAACATCATTTATCTTACTAAAACAAATACCGCATTTCTTATGTTTTAGGGACCTGTGGGCACAAAGAGCTCACATAAAAATCATCATGACAAGAGGGATCATACCTATAGTGCTTGACAAATAAACTTCTGGTAAATATTTGTTGAATGAGCTGGGCATAGTGGCTCACGCCTGTAACCCTAGCACTCTGGGAGGCTGAGGTGGGCGTATTGCTCAAGGTCAGGAGTTCAAAACCAGCCTAAGCAAGAGCGAGACCCCGTCTCTACTATAAAAATAGAAAGAAATTAATTGGCCAACTAAATATATATATATAATATATGTATATATATGAATGAAAAATTAGCCAGGCATGGTGGTGCATGCCTGTAGTCCAAGGTACTCGGGAGGCTGAGGCAGAAGGATCGCTTGAACCCAGGAGTTTGAGGTTGCTGTGAGCTAGGCTGATGCCACGGCACTCTACTCCGGGAAACAGAGTGAGACTCTGTCTCAAAAAAAAAATAATAATTTGTTGAATGAATTAGTTAAAGTACTGATTTTAATACAGGAACTGCAGCTTCCCTTAGAAATTCAGGAAATAGCTTATGTATGCTGTAGACAGCAATATTATAACTGATGCCTCTAGATGTCCTCCAATAGCCAGTTACAAAAATAGGAGAATCTCAGAGAAAAACCATGGGACTTAGCTGCCATGAACAGTCAAAAACTCCTTGATCTTAATTGATCCTCAGATCACTCTGTTCCTTCTAATATAGAAGCATATAAAGATGGAATCTGAATGAACCTCATTATAATCTCTGATCATTTAAGAAAGTACTACAGCTCACATCAATCTTTAAAAGCAAAGAAACAAAAATGTTAACCTTTTCCAATTACCATATGAAAGAAAAACTATTGATGACATAATTTTATGAGGTTAATGTCTGGGACAGTGTTGGTACCTCGGGTTGGACGATCTCTATTTTTCTCTCTAGCAGCAGCTCGCTCTCTCTCTTCCAACTCTCTTCTGAAGTCACGGTTACGAACCTCTTCAGGAGCATCCTGAGTAGTCTGTCTAAAGTAGAAACAAACCAAGGCAAAAATGTTACTTAAAAGAAAACCACAGAGTTGTAGCAATGAAAGATGATTGAGGAATGCAACTTTGTTCCTTAAGCTTGTAAGTAAATAAGATTGCAATCTAATTTGAAGGTTATTTTTTTTTTTAAATTTGAAGGTTATTAACATGCACTTTTGTGATGTTGCTAATATTTCAAATCCAAATTGAATCACATATTTTCCCATAAGGCTGCAGATTAAAATGTCTTTTTGTATTGTATAAATTTAGGACTTGTTACCGTAACTCTTTCAATGTCATATTGACTACTGCTGATAGCCCATAGTCTCTCTGAGAAAGTATATTAGTCTCGAACTCTTGGCCTCAAGCAATCCCCTTGACTCAGCCTCCCAAAGTGCTAGGACTACAGGCATGAGCCACTGAGCCTGGCAGAGGTAATATATTAGTCACTGTTTCATCTATTTAAGGAAGTTCCTGGTTAATAGGAATTTCTGCTGAAGGAATGTCAGGTTTTAAAATCATAGAGCACAATTTTAGTGTTAAACACTCGGTTGCATTCTATTCCCATAAAAATAGACAAGTGACATAACTCAAAATAGATAACTTGTGATACTATATCATGACCATGCCATTAACAGATTTGGTCTTGTTTTGTGCATAAAAAAAAAAGATGAGTCTTTATTACCTGTATTTTATCTTTGTATGAGAGGGTAGGTCTCTGCTTGAATACTGCTTTGAGAGTTGGCTCAAATCACCTTCCCCTTTTCCCCTTCCACCTCTGGCAGGTTCAAAAGTTGGCCTGGCTGCTGTTGTCATCTTTTATGCTTTGAAGAAAAATAGTATCAAGTTATTTCCAACATGTCAAACTCTCATTTTATATAAGTATTAATCAATATTCATCCTTTTGAAATAAGTTTCCAAAGGCATTCCCCACAACTTGCTTAAATAATCTTCTCAAACAAAAGCTCTCAAGAAAACTAATTACAAGGCTTAGGCTGTACAAGGAATATGGCTTCTCAGGTAGCTCTTATTTATTACAAAAAATTCTGTCATGAAAATGAGTTTTTGTTCTCCATCTGACTGTGTGGCCTTGAGCAAGTCAACTAGCTTAAGTTTCTATCATCTGTAGAGTGGGGATATTCCTCAAAGAATTATCATGAGAATTATGACACTTCACATGTCAAATCCCTGGGAAAATACAGTACTGCCATGACTGAGTTTTAAAAATTCTCAAATCAACCTTACTCCACCACACTCCCTAAGGTCTGCATTTTATCTAAACCTCACACAACAGCAAATAGGTTAGTAAAAACAAAAGCAATATATACATTAAACATACATATATATGCATTTATTTGAAAATCACTGACAAAGTTACTGAGTGTCCTGGAGAGAGGTGTGTTACATAGACAAAATTCTTCAACAATCATTTGCTGATCCAACTTTCTCCTACATAAGCTATCACAATATAAATTAAATCTGTTGTAAATTATAATTTAAAGAATGCTCAAAAGACAGATATCTCACCCCAAAGAATTCTGACAACCAAAAATCAGGGGTTCATTCCTTATGCTACTTTCTGCTTTGAGCAGCCTGAAAATACTACCTAGCAGATGTGGCTACCAACCCCCGTTAGCGTCGGAAAAGCAAGTATGTGAGGAGGGCAAAGGCGTGTACCCAGAGGGAGAAACAAGAGTTCTCTGGAGCTGGGGGAGCCGCCGCCTCCCCCACACCTCTGGGATTATCATTCCAGCATCCCAGGAGCCCATCTTTGGGCTATCACCAGGGTATCACTGACTCTTCACCCGTGCCCGATGGGGCGGGAAGGGAGGTGGGAGCTGGTGCTCGCTTAAAGCCGTGGGTAGAGCTGCCTTCACTGTGCGCCTTCTGCCGCGGGCCTCGGAGCTGCGGACGAGCCCGACGGGCACCGGGGTCCGCCGCTGGCCCGCTGCTCCGGAGCCTCCTCCGCCCGCGCTCGGTACTCTGCCGTCGACAACGACCCCAACCGCCCTTTCTCGTCCCACTCAGATAAGGAAGATAGTCTGCTGCCCTCCCGAAGCTCACTTTGGCCGAGGTCCGATGCAGCAGCCTCCGGAGATCATACAGAAGCAAGTTAGGACTCTCGGCTCCCAGAAGCCCCTGCGCACAGGGCTAAGAGCCCAAGACCCGGAAGCAAAACCCAAGCGTTTTAGCCTTACCTCAGAGGCAACTACCAATCCGCAGAGGCCAAAGTGGAAGTCGGCGTGACGACAATAAGGGGCGGGGCTGAAACGGCCCAGGGGGCGGGCGTTTGAAATCGGTGCCTTAGAGTAGACCCTAAACATCATTTTATACCTTCAAGAACCAATTACTTAATGTCTCTTCCGTCTTTTCCTTCCCCGACCCCCTTCCAGACTCCATCATTCTGGTACCGCGTGGACGGAAAGCCCCGGGTAGCCGACACCACGTTCCCGGCTAGCGGGAGAGAGCGTGGAAAAGGATTACACCAAACTGTTTAAATTCAACGGCTCCTGCTTCCATCCTTTCTCCTGTGCTAGACCCAACAAGCCTAGGGAGTTGGGCTACGGAAAAACTAGTGTTTTCATTTAATTGGATATGAAGAAAGAACAAATATGTACGAGGGCAACCACGATCTTTATAAAGGTACCATTCCTGCAAAAATATTAGACTTCAAGGCATAGGTTGTATTCGTATTGTTTGTTAAAGTTTTTAATTTTAAAAAAGCGTTAAGTTCTAGTGGGAGGGAAGATGTCAGTATTAGCGTTTACGACACCGAGCGTTTAGAACGGTGGGCCCAACTGCCAGGAGCAGGAGGTAGAATTATTAAGATGGCTACTCAAGCGTTGGGTGAAGTTTTAATAACGAAAAGGAAAAAGAAAAAAAAGCCACCAATTGTCTTTCCTCCCACCTCCCTCCCCTAAAAAGAGCACTCTGAGAGCTGGGATCTTGTTTGCTTAGTTTGTCTTGGTTTCCCATCACATAGACCTTGGCACATAGTAGATGCTCAATAAATATTTTTAAAGTGAAAATTCAGTTTACCAAATTTAGTTTCAAATGTAAGGAGCTAACAAAATTGAACATTTGAATCCTGTTTTCTTTCCCTTAATTCTTTCTTTGAAACTTTTAAATGAAAAAAGAAAAATAGAAAAAGCTCTTCCCCTATACAGTTCAAGATGAAAATCTTGATTTTTTTTTTCTTACTGAAGGCATTCCTTCCCCAATCTTACTACACATCTTGTAAAGGACACTGTCATCATACTAGTTACTGAAACCTAAATCCCAGGGCGCCTTCTTAGTAAATTCTTTTTCTTTTACTTTTCATATCCTGTTCATTTGCAGATCTTGCCAATTCTCCTTTCAAATTTTACCCTAAATTTCATTCTGCTGCCACCACCCTTGTCCAAGCCACCACCAACTCCCATCTAGATTTTAATTGTTAATATCTCCTAATGGATTTTCCTGCTTTCTTTTTTGTCCTATAGTCAATTTTAAATACATCAGTGAGAGTGATCTTTTAAAATAAAATTAATTAGTAATGGTATTACCTTCCTGCATAAAATTCCAGTGCACTTAGAATAGAAAACATATTTCTTAATGTGACCTGAGGCCCCTTGGAGTCTGGCTCCTACCTACTTCCCTGACTTCACTTCTTAATCTGTCACTCTTCAAGATACTAAGCTCTAAATGCAGTCAAGTGGGCATTTCTATTTCACAAAACAGGGCAAGTTTCCTTTTGTTTTAAGGCCTTAGCTTTTCTTTGTTACCTGTGTCCCAAGATTACTGTATTACTGTCCTTCAACTTTCAAATGCTACCTACCCTTCTTAGTGAAGTTTTTCCCTGACATCTCCATCTGCACTCCTTCTAACAGACGCCATCACATCACCCTGTGTTATTCTTTCATACTACTACTGAACACTACCTGAATCTATTCTGTTCACTGTTTATTGCCTTGTTTCTTGTCTGAGAGGCAGCATAGCAAAGCCATTAAGAGAAAGGGATCTACAGCCTGTCTTGATTCTAAATTCCAGTTCTGCCCTTTCCTAGCTGTGTAACCTTAGGCAAATTATTTTGCCTTTCTGTACCCCCAGTCTCCTCATTTGTAAAATGGGCATAACTCTAGTCCCTACCTCATAATGTTACCGTAAAGATTAAGTGAATTTATACTTATAAAGTGCTTAGAACTGTCTCAGTAAACAGTACTTGATAAGTAAATGTTAGCTATTATTATTATTATTATTCTTATTGTTTATCTTCCTGTATTAGAATATACATTCCAGGAAAGCAGGAACTTTGTCTCTCTTGTTCACTGGTGTATCCTTTGGCACATAATAGGTGTTGAGTAAGTATTTGTTGAATGAATGAATGATGTGGTATATATAAAGTAGGGGAATGAAGTAACATGACAAGATGGTGACACAGTTATAGAAAATACCCACAGTGTTTCTGTTCCAAATGCCTTTATTAATCCTTTATTGAATGGTTTGGAATGAATCACTCCAATCCGTTTAACTCCCAGCCCACTACTCAATCTTTTGACAATCAACCATGATCAAATAGCTACCCTGTAATTTCATTAACACCAGCATACAATATAATCAGTCCACAAAATTAAAAGCTTTTGACTTAAATGGTCTGAAAGTACGAAGAAAAAGAGACTAAAAGTTACTAAAAACTTAAAATTCATGCTATAGGTTAACCTTGTTGGCAAAAATCCCAAGAATTCTTATTTTAAACCTATTACCACAAAAATCTAGTTGGGCCCTTAATTCTTCCTGCCAGTCCTCTTAAATTCCCCTGATTGTTAATTTTCCCCCTCTCCAATAATAAGATTTCCCACATGCCTCTCTTTCTTCAAGTCTACATGCCTCTTCTACGTCCTTTTGCCTCATCATCCTCTATTCTGAGAGTAGATCTTCTGACTCCTCTGGGAAAATACAAGCTCTTAAACACGGATGGCTCATTTCCCCTTTCAGCGGATCTATCAAGCTGCTTTTGGCTATGCCCATAAAGCCAGCTTTCTGGTGATCCTCAGCTTTCCAGGTGATCCAACTCTCCCTCCCTTATGCTCTGGGTCTTAATCCCTCCAGCTGTTTTAGTGACTGGCATCCTGCTACATTCCTATTTCTCATAATCTATGAAGCCATCCCTTTTAGATCATTCTTTTCAGGTTTTAGAGATGGTATCGTATATCTTAACCTTTAAAAATACTCCTTCATTTTAATATGACAAAGGTAGTATTTTAGTTTAATGTGAAAAAGGATGTTTTATATAATAACCATGATTGTAAAACTGTTCTTATGGCAAGAAGTAATGCAGGAATTCCAGCTTCAAAGCTTACACAAAAACAACACCAAAAAGGGAAAAAAGAAACCATAAAAACCTAAGGAGAAATTTTAAGAAGAAAATTTAAGAAACCACTTATAGAACCTAGAGTTTGGAAAGACCTTTTGATTAAAGAAGAATACCTTAAGATTTTTAAAAGAAATAATTTAAAAATTCATCTCTATAAAAATTAATTTTATGACAGAAGATGCCAAAAACAATGTCACTAGATAAACGATAGATCAGCAGGTAAATTTTGTAATGCCTATAACATATAAAGGATTATTTCTATTACTAATAATAATACATATAAAAATTTAAACAACTGAATTTAAAAAATGGGCAAAGGACATAAACAGGCCATTCAGAAAAAGCAATTCCAAGTCCACAATATGCAATAAACATGAAAGACATTTAACCTCCTAATGAGGAAAATGAAAGTAAACTAACAATAAATTGTCACATTGTAGCATCAGATTGGCAGCAATTTAAAAAAATTAATAATACGGTTGGGTGGGACTGAGAGAAAAAGTCATCCAGTCAGACAGTGGGAAGACACTGGCCACTCCCATTGTCTTTACTGTAGAAGTCAAAGTGCTCACAGTGACCTGCAGGATTTTCTCTGATCTAGCCTTCCCCTGACCTTTTTGACCTTATTACTTGTTCATGCCTTCCTAGGTTACATGGCTTCCTAGTAGCTTGGACATGCACAACTGTTCCTGCCTTTGGACGCTTGCACCAGCTATTAATATTTTTTCTGCCAAGGGTACTTTTTTCCATCTTACTCAAATCTTTGTGCAGATGAGGCCAACCAACCCTGGCAGCCCTATTTAAAATTGTAGCTGTTCTCACCCTCTATCCCCTAACATCTTGTACTCCATATCTCCCTTGCCCCACTCTTCCTTTTCTTTTTAAAAATTATGTTATACATAAATACATAGCACAAATCATCATTCATGACCCTATATAATTTAGTTATGTTGCATTCATTGTTTCTTTCTCTACTTCTCCCACGTAGAATATAAGTTGTATAAGGTCAGGGATCTTTGTTTTGCTTAGTAACATAGGCCAAACATCTAAAACAATACCTGGTACCAAAAGTTGCCCAGTAAACATTTTTCAAATGAGTGAATGAATGAATGACTTTTAACAGGAAAAAAATCATGTTCTGATGTAAAAAGTTATTGCCTTAATCAATTTTATATTTTAAAGGAGAAAAAAGTAGCTTACATTCTGCTAGTCTGAAATCTTGATTTCAGATGAGATCGGGTGTGTTCTGGGTGGTATGGCCATAGACTGAAATCTTGATTTCAAATTAAGATATGGCAAGACCCCGGAAACATAATTTCCTTTCAGAAAAGAATCTCTAAATGAACAATCATATAATAATCAGGCTCTTTATGTACCATCAAAATTCTAATTAAATCAGCCCTACCCTCAATCCAATCACAGCTGCAATCCAATTTCTCTCTACATCTTCCGATTGAATCGCTTCCCCTAATTCTTATAAACCTCTCATTTGTAAAGTTATCAGCCCACAAAATGTGAAGATTTTGCTTAAAAATGTTTCTTTGAGGCTTTTAATAAGAAAGGAAACAAAATGCCCATGTGTCATAAATCACATTTAAAAATAAAGTAATATATATATAATGGAATCTTTTTTTAACCTGAAAATTATACATTTTCTAGTATGAAAAACTAGTGTTTTAATCTCTTTTGGCAAGTAAGAAGAATAGAAAAATAAAGTGGCTTGCTGTCTACCAACAAAATCCTGATTTTAAATGAAGACACTCTGGGGCCTACAGAAATGGTTTCGTGGAGATAGCCTCAAAATGAAATACCATTTGCTGATGGTTCAGGCTAGATTACTAGATAATATTAGAATTCAACCACCCTCATCTAATTTAATCACATGGCTACCTCACCAGCTGGCCAGTCCATTACTAAGACAATTAAAAACAAAACAATATTTAAAAATAGTTAAAATTAACAAGTAAAATATAGAAAATAAAGAGGTAGAAAAAAACATACCAGGCAAATTCTAAATAAAAAAACTTTATGTAGCAATATGAATTACTAGAAGTATTCTTTAGGCCGGGCGAGGTGGCTCAAGCCTGTAATCCTAGCACTCTGGGAGGCCGAGGCGGGCGGATTGCTCAAGGTCAGGAGTTCGAAACCAGCCTGAGCAAGAGCAAGACCCCGTCTCTACTATAAATAGAAAGAAATTAATTGGCCAACTAATATATATATAAAATTAGCTGGGCATGGTGGTGCATGCCTGTAGTCCCAGCTACTCGGGAGTCTGAGGCAGGAGGATTGC